CTGACTGCTGGTCTAAAGGAGCAGAGCCTCAACATACACACTAGAAGCACACTCAGCGAGAGCAGACCTCCACAGAGGCAAAATGCTCTATCTTGCAATGCTACTGAAAGCGAAAAATAATACATGAATCCGCCCAGGGATTCGTATCCGCTGCTAAATTTAATGGCTTCTTCCTTGGCCCATGCAAAACTGTTCCAACAAGTTTCATGAACATCTGGCCAGTAGTTTTTAGGGCTGCAACTAACGATTATTTTCATTGTCGACTAATCTGTCGATTATTTTTTCAATTAGTCGACTAATCATTTTATCGAAAAATGTGTTAAAATGTTGAAAAATGTTGGTCTGTCTCTCCCAAACCCCAAAATTATGTCATCTAATGTCTTGTTTTGTACTCACGCCAAAGGGTTTTAGTTCACCGTCATGGGAGAGTGTGTAAAGCTGCCAATATTTGAATATTGAATATATATAATAATAATATATTTGAGTATTTTGGGGCACTTTTACAGTACTTTTCTATGGAAAATGACTCAAACCGATTGGTCGACTACTAAAATAGTCACCGATTATTTTAATAGTCTATAAGTCATTGCTTAGTCGACTAATCGTTGCAGCCCTAGTAGTTTTTTGTAATCTTGCTGATAAATAGACAAATAAACCAAATTCAAAACGTAACCTGCTTGGCAGAGGTAATTAGTGCCAGTGAATGGAAATGTGCTGATGTTTACTGAAAGCTAATATTTTGTGCAGTTCTAGGTGGAGATGTCCTGATCCGATCTCAAAGATCGGAATCGGAGCTGAACCAGGTGTTTTTTAACTGATCGGGATCAGCTATATTGAGCTATATAGAGGATCTGGTCCTTTATTTTACGTCAGCTTTCATCAGGTCCCCTCCTCTCCTCTCTCCTCTCCTTGAGTTTAATAACTTTAATGTACTTAATGTGTGCACTGTGTGTATCAGCTATGGAACTAGAAGTATCGGATCAGGACTTGATATCGGCAGGTTCTCAATATCCAGTGACTCAGATCAGGGGCAAAAAAACTTGATAGGGACATCCCTAGTTCTAGGGGATTAAATACTGGTAGATGTGAAATAAATATACTGAGTAAACAAATCTCTATGACAAGTAAGGAAATGTGCCAACTTGTAAAATACTGAATCTGAAAACTATTCAGTGTCCATCTAACTAACTACAAAAGAAGGGATCTCTGTCTGTGTCTGTTGTGTAAATCACATATGTCAAAAACTGTTCATCTGACCTACTTCACACTCTTGGCAGGTGTGTTGCTGGGGACCCAAGAGCATGCAGTGTCGAATATGGTGCGATATGGACTCACAACATGTTCAATATTAATAAACTTTGCAAAGCACGCAACTAATACACCTATTTGGAAATTAACACCTTTGCACTTCACTGGTGTTTGACTCTGCAACCTAACTAGTAACATGTCTCTGTCGGCTAAATGTAGTGGAGCAATGTTTTCCTCTGCAGTACAAATACACAGTTATAGTAAAACTGTTGATACCACACAGTAAAAGTCCTGCAAGTTTAACTTAACATGAAGAAGGAAAGAGAGCCATTATCAGCACAATGTACTTTCATTTACTTCATGTCTGTTCATGCTGGAGCTTTTGATTCTAATAAAATGCTGGATAGTTTGATCATTAGTGAACCATCATATTTTCATTTTTATAATTTTGCAAGTAAGACCAGAATCTGCAACACAACCAGTGACATGTCTCTGAACATGTACATGCAGTGGTAAAATGGTAGTAAAAGCAACAAAAACAGGCATGTTTTGAATGGCACTGCACTAGTTTTATCAAAATCAAAATGTCTGGAGAGTAGCACATGGTACTTACAGAAACCTTCAGTGCAGTAAAAGCCAGTAATCTATACCATAGAGGAAGAAACATAATTAGTTTCTCTGAATTTTTGTTTGACGGGTGTAAGAAAACCACCTGGACATAATCTTTGGTATAATCTTTCACTTTTTACAACCCTGATTTAAAGTGCTTAAATACAGATAGTCAGTAAAATTAAGCTTCACTTTGGTTACAGAAAGAGAAAATAAATCCTGTTGATGTGCACAGAGAATTCATGCAAATAGCTTTGGCAGTATAATGACAGCGTGGAGTTAAAGTGGTTCACTTAGAGATGTGTGCTGCCGACAACTGAGAGTCTCTGCCATCACCTAGTGGTCAAATACCGCCAAAGTGTGCTCCCACCTGCAGTCACATGCGGTTCATTTCCAGATCCTTTTGGAATACTGCAACACTGAGAGTAAATGTTACTCAGCCTTTATAACCTGAGAAGTAATTTCAGGGATTCATAGTAAACAGATGTTAAAGTTCTGGACCTCAGCTGGCTCTGCGCTGTAAATGAGCGACTAACATATTCCAGCTGAGGGAATTTCCTTGATCACACCTAATTTGCAGCTTGTCCAAATACTTGGAGTCTCTTGGCAATGGAAAAATGTTTAATCTACAAGCTAATTACATCTTTGACTGCCTGCTCTGTGTGACCAAATTATGCAAAAACAACACTAATTTGTTCCAAAAGACATACAGCAAGTGTGATGATATCCCAGCAAATAATTATACTCAACTGTTACATAACAAGTTAGACTAATTACCATTAGAATACTCTGCAGCAGGTGAAATGGAAGTCAATGTTCTTCTTTGCGTTTGGCCACCAAAAACAGGGCGGAATGATATGAAGATAATTAAATATCAGGATATTTTGACCCAATACCTCCACTTTATTGTAATGCAGCCTTTGTAACCAGGAAAAGACAACACACTTACTAATTACAATATCCACAATCTAAGACAATATCTAAGACGATATAAATAGGAGTATCCTCAGGGCAAAGAATGGCAATAGGAACAAATGGCTTCGTCATAAAACTAAATTAAAATACCTCGTGAAATTTTAAAAACAGGTTTGCTCCACTGTGGCAGACTTAACTAAAAGAACTGAGTCTCTCAGGCTCATCACATCATCCACTGAGGCCTCTTTAACTTTCCCAGCCGTGACATATAAAACACATTTATGCAGGGCTTACAAAAAGGCCTGTCCAACCCTCATAGAGTTTACACACAATATATTGTAATATTCATGTCACAAGAGAAGGGACAAGCCTGGGAGAATCTGTTGTTTGTGTCTGCGTGAGACATGGAAACTCCTCCTGCAGTCCACCACTGTTAGCACAACATTATTTAAAGCAATATGCTTTCATGAGAACAAAGAAGAAGAATAGATGCACTGATTGCAATTTTCTCAGTCGATTTTGATTTCCAATAATCTAAAAAGTCTGACCTGCCGATTCAGATTTTCTTTTTTTCTTAGAATTACAATTGACAGCATGCGCAAACATTTTTGTAACTTTTCTTTTATGGAAAATTCAATTGTATGTTAATAATAAAACACTGACTGCAGTTGAAATGTCTGTTTCAGGTGGAGGGAAGAGAGGAACAGCTTATTAATTTTTTGGTTTGAGAAACAGCCATGTCCTAAAGTCTATGCGTAATGTTACTGACTATAGTAATGGTACAATGTCAGTGCGGTGCCACCACTGCTGTGAGGAGATAGTGGGAAAAAGACACTGATTGAAGGTAAAATGTAATCAAATATTACAATGTCAGACTTTAGAGCTAAACAAAATGCAGGCAGAGATCATTTAAAAGTGGCCTGTGGTTTAAAGTAAGGGGACATTCATTACATGTGAGTGTATATTCTGTGCTGCACGCTGTGTGTTTGGAGTTTTTTATGGCGGAGGAGAGGTGAAAAATGTTCAACTTTGGGTAAAACACTGCAGCCTTCACTGTCACTTTTTACTTTGGTGTCCAGTGACAGTGGAGGAGAGCTGGGACAAATACTCAAAGACCAACCATCACATCGCAGAACAACAACAACAATGGAGGAGAAATGTATTAATGTGCTGTACATATATTAATGTATGTTTCCTCTCATGGAGCCGCACAGACCAGCGGGTCTGTCTTTTCTCCCTATGTGCTTCAGCCCTCTCTTAAGCCTTAAAAAAACGCTACATCTCCAAAGCTGACAAAAACATGCTTATGTAGACATGCCGCCAAAATAGACACAAGCTTCACAGTAAAGAGCAGAAATGAAAATTTAATTTTCTATAGGAACACAAAATGATTTAAATTTCAAATCAAGATCAAGTTTGTTTGTGGTTTTTCCATTACATCAGACAGCGAACCTGCAGCAGCAACAATCACCATCATTCTCTCTGGAAGGCTTTAGCGGCACACACGAGTGACTCCTCCACCATGATATACATCAAAGCACAGGTACACCGAGTACCTCCGTGGCTTTTCCTTCCACTGCCTTCACTCTCACAGCTCACATCTTTACCACAGCCCTTACTCCACAGCCTACAAAGGAGACTGATAATGACTCTTCCTCCTCATCTTTTCTGCTTCTTTTGAGTCACTCGTTCCTCACAAATCTGTGAAGTGGGCGTCCTCGCTCTTACACAAGCCTCCACTTCTCGCCTGCCGGGGTCTGGTGTCTATCAACCCATCTGCCACTTCTCTTCAATGACACCACTTTTTCTCCTTACTCAACACACTTGGATTAGACTAAGGTGGTGGAAGCTTAATGCCATGATGGCGCCCGCTCATAGACCTCAGCGGGGAAACGCTGGAAATAAACTTGCTGGATGATGACTGGAGCTCCAGCTTCAAACAATTCAATGACAAACTTACTTTAATATTGTAAAGCAGGCAGCTAAGTATTGTAAATCTAACTCACATTTACAAGTACAATATTTCTAAATGCTCACTTTCATTATTTCATTTCTCTCTGTAGTGTTGCCTGAGCGATCATGGTTCTCTGAAGCGACAAAAAGGTGGAATAAAGTAACTGAAATTATCATCAGCTTCTTAGCTGTAGAGGACAAGCTGTAGGCTAACTGAAAAAGATGTGCTTGCATGACAAAAAGTGGTGCAACAGTGGTGATAAACAGAGTCTGACCTTTGCTTTCTTGGCACTGTTCATGATGTTGCCCAGATCCTCCATGTCAACCATTGAACCTGCTTTTTTCTCGTCTTGCAGACCAGACTCTTCTTCATCACTGCTGGACTCCATTAGATCGTCCTGAAACCAGAAAGATGACAACAGAAACCCCAAAATACGGTTAATAAAATAACATTTTTACTAAAAGAAAATAAGTCGAGGACATGGTGAGACCTATGATCGAGTGGAAACTGCAAATGATCCTCCAATGTTGAGAAACACACCTATGTTCCAGCTCATTATCAATTAAAAACTTGTCCCTGATTAAGCAAGGGAGCCCATTTGGAACACATTTATTGCACATCCTTATCTCCTCTTGGGCTGCCTGATTAAATAAGAAAACCATGTACATGTTAATGGGGTTTAAGAGGATTTATCACAATGCGTGCCCAGTGTTTAAGCTTCTGCCCACATGTGAAGCATCAGGGTAAAATGCAGTGGTACAGTGGGAAGATAAATCACGATGATGGTCCCCTCAGCACAGTTCTCAGCCACTCTTGGTTCCGGTTGAATGTCACCTCTGCTGTGCGGAATCAATGTTGCAGACAGAGGTGACAAGTCTCAGCTAGAGTTGGCTCTGAGGTGCCTGCTACCATGACAACTGCTCATCTGTGTCCGAGATTTATGGATGTGTTTGTAAATGGTAAATAAATATAGAAGGCTTTACAACTGTTGCCTCTCATCACCCATTCACCCACATTCACACACCAATTTGGGGTTCAGTGTCCTTCCAGAAACACTTACACATATGGACAAGAGGAGTTGGTGATCAAACCGCCAAACGCTGGAATCGGCGGAAAACCTGCTCTACTTCCTGAGCCACAGCCGGGCTCACACCTGCCTCTCTTGTCAAATGTGTAATCTCTGTGATTGGTGGTGAAAAACAGTGCTATTTTTATATTTTGACACGATGGACAGCACTGACAGTGATTACACATTTCATGTGCAGAACATTTATAACACCATGCCTTCCCTTGGAAATGAAAGACATTAGTGGTACTAAATAAGGACCTGATAATCTGAGAGTAACACTCGTCTGTCAGAGTCCTTATCAGATTTTAATCACGTTGCTGGAGAGCAACAGGAGGCAGTTAGCCCAGTTAGCCCACTTCGGCCTCCTATTATAAGAGCCACGCCAGTGCCCGAGATGGACCATCTCCAGAGTCAGGCCAACTGCGTGCTGACTGCCTTCAAGCAGGCAGCGGTGACATCTCGCCTGCAGCCAACCCCTGACGACCTGCTTTTCCCGCTAATACAAGCTCGTGTTAACGAGACTGAAAATATGTCTGTGCGTGCAGGAGACCAGAGAGAAAGACATTTTTAAAAGTCTGTGTGTATTCATCTCTCAGTATTCTTGTACCTTCTAACTGAATCTCTGTTCTCTCTCTCCAGCGTCCCTGTTTGTACCTCAGATATCTGCTTAATTTTACTGTTTCATGTTTGCTTTCAGCTGTATAGGAGTCATGTTAAAGGGATAGTGCACCCAAAAATTCAGCCATGATCTACTCACCCATATGCCGAGGGAGGCTCAGGTGAAGTTTTAGAGTCCTCACATCACTTGCAGAGATCCAAGGGGAGAGGAGGTAGCAACACAACTCCACCTAATGGAGGCTGACGGCGCGAGACCAGCGAAAGTACGTGAACACACATGAACGTGGTGCCCATGTTTCACGGTCTCGCGCAAGCGCGCACACATGAGTGTGGTGCACAGGAGGCAGTTACAGTAGAGTATGGAGATATTTTGTAATTTTAATTATGTGTTTTTGGACGTTTGAATCTGAGGCACCGTCAGCCTCCATTAGGTGGAGTTGTGTTGCTACCTCCTCTCCCCTTGGATCTCCGCAAGTGATGTGAGGACTCTAAAACTTCACCTGAGCCTCCCTCGGCATATGGGTGAGTAGATAATGTCTGAATTTACATTTTTGGGTGCACTATCCCTTTAAGTTACTGCTGATGAGATCTCAACATTTTAATTTATTTTGCTGCTTCCCTGCTTAGGAATGTATAGGAAATGAAATGTGTTAATTCGGGAATAAGCTGAGCTTTGTTAGCAGCACTTCTTTAATAAAAATAACTCTACTGACACAGCAGGGAGGAAGAGTACAATCAGAAACAGCCACAGTGAGATGTTAAATAAGGAGCAGCAGACAACAGGCTCTTGCTGCACATCTGCAAACAGCTCACCTCCAACAGGTAAACTTCTTTTACCTGCCATGCTGTGTACTGGAAAACACTCACAGCAAAATAACGGGGGACTTAAAGGACAACTTCGGTATTTTTCAACCTGGGCTCTATTTCCCCATGTGTATGTGTGCATATGATTCATGGGTACCACTCGTTCTAAAATTGGTTCAGTATTGAGCCGCGAAACGAGCTAAAACGGTAATGGGGGCAAATGCGTCCCGTATAAAAGTGTTTTTTTTCGCCACTGACCGGTTCAGATCGCCAGTGCTATCTCTGTAAATAGCATATGGTAGCGGCCCTGGAGCAGTGGTGACTGTGAATTCATTTCATTTCATTTCAATTCATTTCATTTATTCCTTTTGACCCCTCCCCGGGGTATAAGGGGCAGACAACAAAAAATAACATTAAGAAATCAGAACAGGCTGCAGCCAATGCACAGCAAAAATAAATAAAACAGAATTTGTGTACATACATACAAGTCAAAGCAAATCAAGAGAAACTATTCAAGATTTTCTTTAAAAGTTTCAACGAATTTGACAAGACCTTTACTTTTCGAGTTGACATTAACTTTTGAAACTTATAAATATTTGGATTTGCTCTGTAGAACTGTCCGACCAACTCTCTTCTCTCTTTATCAAAAAAAGAACACACAAGTACATAATGATATTCGTCTCTTCGATTGCCAGTCAAACAAAGAGTACATTTCCAGGGCACATTTTCACGATCATACCTGCGCTCAGAGATAGGTAACTTATGATTTCCACACCGAAACTTAGACAAACAAACTCTTTCGGCAGGTCTTAACATAATCAGATAAGGTTCAAAAGTGAAATCAGAATGAGTGGAGTCAGCCGTCAGTCAGTGTTGGAGCAGAAAGGCGGAAGTTATCCCCGCTTGGTAATGTAAATGAGCATGTGTGTGTGAAGTGTGTGTTACGCTAGAAGAGTCAGAGGACAGTGTTACCGGAGTTTTTGGAGTGCTCAAATAAACGGGCCTTTTTCCCGAACGCAAGAACAGGATGTCGTGCAACACCCCATACAGCTTTCATAGGCTGCCTTTGTCAGACGGCGAGATGCTGAAGTTGTGGCTAGTTGTGCTACAAATGGATGCTAACACTCCTGTCCAGACACTGTGCCTTGCAGACCATCGGGTCTGCAGTGCTCACTTCTCCCAAGATGACTACTGCCAGCCGAAGAAGAGAAGACATCCAATCCCGAAACACCTCTTCCTCAAGAAAACGGCTGTCCCACAAGTAGAGAGAGCTACAGACACAGTGGAGCCAAGCTTGTGACATCACACAGCCCAGAGGTAAGGGAAAGGCTAAGTTAGCATGCTGCTTACAGAGATAGCACTGGCGATCTGAACCGGTCAGTGGCGAAAAAACACACACTTCACACACACATACTCATTTACAATACCGAGCGGGGACGCCCTCCGCCTTTCTGCTCCAACACTGACTGACAGCTGACTCCACTCATTCACACTCACCACTGCCCCAGGGCCGCTACCATATGCTATTTACAGAGATAGCACTGGCGATCTGAACCGGTCAGTGGTGAAAAAAAGCACTTTTATACGGGAAGCATTTGCCCCCATTACCGTTTTAGCTCGTTTCGCGGCTCAATACTGAACCAATTTTAGAACGAGTGGTACCCATGAATCATACGCACACATACACATGGGGAAATAGAGCCCAGGTTGAAAAATACCGAAGTTGTCCTTTAAGCCGTGGATCATCCCGCTGCTTTTGAATGTCATCACTCAAGACAAGCACATTATCAGTTAAGTTAAATCTCCAAGCACATAGCCCTGTTGTAATGGAGATGCAAATCCCTGCTGTGCTGGGCTGACACGCCAAGTCAAACTGAATTGGGCAAAGCCAGTGCACATGTATGGAAAAACACCACGTCTCTCTGGACTTCACTAGTTTAACATTTTGATCTTTGGTCATTGTGCCCCTGTCAAGTTGATCAGAACACTGTGCCAAAAAACTGTGTTTATGTTTAGTTTAACGAGATCAACAATGCCTACTTCTTGATATGTCATAATTGGAAATATAATGTGTGATCTATAGTTCCCTATTATAAAGAAATAATCATCGTAGTCCAGAACACTGCTCCAGGCTGCTGCTAGACATTCAGCTTTTTGCTCGAGGACACATCAGCGGGACAAATGCTTGACATCAGCAGGTCATTAACCCCTGTTGTTCAACTGGACGGATTCTATGTGTCAATCTATTGCCCCAAAATAAGAATGTTCACAGTATGTCATCAAAAATTTAATGGTGAAATAAACTTTTCTGTCATTACCTCAGAGCTGTTACCCTGCAGAGCTGTCTTCTCCTCCTCCTTCTGCTGCTCCTGTCCTTCTTTCCTCTTGTTCTTACAGGAGCCCCCAGTCTTGCAGTTGCCGCTGCAGCTCTTCTTCTCGCCCTTGGCCAAAGCTTGTAGGCGGATCAGGAACTTGACCTTCCAGGCCAGGAAGTCTGCCTGGATGCTGCCATTACGGCTCTTGACCACATTACAGTCACCCTCTCCCCTGGTCATAATTCTCTTGCCACTCAGCATCCAAAGCCACTTGTCAAAGTTTTTACCCACCTGGTGAGGCAAAAAGAAAGTACGGCTGTCAGCTGTCAACCTTTGGATATTCATTGAATAACTCATCTTTCACTATATTATTCTGATAAAAACAGCTCATTCTCAGGTAACAAAAAAAAATAATGATTCTTATTTTCAGGTGATTATACACTAAAGAAAACATACTTATTATATTACATTCTATTTCTGCTAATATATCCCCCCTAAATCCTATACACTGGACCTTTATTATGGAATCCATTTCTTACTGTATTATAGTGGCCGACATAAACAGAGTTGCCAAGGCCAAACACTGCATATCGTAGGCCTTTGAGGTAGGTCTTCCCGTATCTGAAGTCAGTGGATGCCTCCTCTAACCACTTGCAGAACCACTCGGCGTTCTCTGTGGGCTGTCCGTCAGTGTAGGTGGCCACAAGAAACACGCAGACTGACTTGTTGATGCACTAAATAGAGAGAAACAATGACATCAGAGCATTTCATAGGGTTAGGGTTAGGGTATTCGTAACTGCAGCAAAGTTCCTACAGCTTAAGATCAGTAAGATTTACAAACTTTTTTAATGTCACTAAGAATGAAATTTAAGACCAATTTTACAATCACCAAAACTGAAGGAAACATGAACCAACATCAGTTAAAGAGGGTTAGGGACAATTTTTCCAAAACGCTTATTAATGCAAGTTTTCTTGACAATATTGTTTTGTCTCACACTGCACGTGGGACTTCACTGACTTGACTCCCATTGAACTGACATTGAAAAGCGTTTCTTATGAAATACACTGAGGCTTGTATGAGTTTCCTGCACCAGTTTCAGCCATACTGTGAAATGTGGTTTAATACACAATTTCCATTGAATGTGCACTTCCCCATATCCACATCCAGGGTACAGTGACAGCTTACTAAGTGTTGTTGGTTCTGCTATCCTGATCAGAGCAAGGTCAATGTGAGAGGCATTTTTTTTTTAAATTGTATTTAAAAAATAGATGTTACCAATTATTTTAATAATTTACAATGCAACATCAGAAAGAAATAGTTCATAAAATCCTATTTCCCATGTTTTAGCATTTTTAAGACTTTTGACAGATTGATTTAAGACATTTTAATAGTAATTAAGGCAGGAAAGAAGAAGAGGAGAGACAGGTTGCAAAAATACGCATTTTTCCCAATTACTTCTTTTCGAAGCTGTGTGATGAAAGATTATACAAAATTGATTCCCCTGACTCATCTCCAAGACTAAAATTTCATACAAAGGACAGCAGAAAATCAATATAGATTAAATCTGAAGTAAGTACACATCATCTCCTTGTGTAAATAAACAGAAAACTTTACTTGTCTCATGTCTAACAGGGCCTGTCCAACAAATAATGCATTCTTGACTGATAGTCAAGGATCAGCTGCATCTAGGGAGTGACTGATGCCTGCGGCCATTTCTCCTGTAGAGATGTCTCATCGCTGTCCTGTTGAATAAACAGCTATTTTCTCTCCTGCTGTGTTCAATCTCATATTCATCTCTCAATGCACTTCACAGTTCCTGTGCCCACAAAATAAAAGGGGAACACTGTCGAAATATCTTTCATCAGCTGAGCAGGACTCGTCTAACACATTTGTCCTCTGTGCCAGCAGTGTGAAGAATCAAAACAGTGCAAAAAGTAAAGGGAAAGCTGAACAGGAACATTACAGAACGTGATGCTTACTGTATTGTTTGTTGTCAAGCTTTCAGTGAAAAAAAGCATTGTTATAATTTATTTTACACTGATTAATTTTGATCTACTTAAGTCTTGCCAGGTATTATATTTCAGAGATCTAATTAACAGAACCACTTCTTATCATACACAGCAGACTGTAACAATAACAATAATAATAATAATAATAATAATAATAATAATTAGGGTCACTACAGGTATCAGACGCTTAAATTTAATGCTTTTTATGATCATTTTTTACCAAATTTAAGACGGATTTTTGGAAAAATGATATTTTCCTTATTCAAGCACCATAGCTAATTATAAAGGCAGGAATATATATATGAGAAAGTTTACCTGCAAAAAAATATTACAGTTTTTGCCCTTATTTTAAAAAAAAGACAATATTCCTACTAAGCTGTTGACATAGCTATTGAAAATAAATATTCCACTAATATTCTTGTTTACATGCAGCCGTGCATACTCAGATTAATGTGTCATAACATTTTTGTCAAAAAAGGGAAAAGTGGAATGGCTGTCCCTTGTCCCAGGATGTTTTCAAAGGTTTCCACCAGTAGCAGGCTTGTTCGACCATGTGAACACAGCCTCCCTCTTTCATTCCTTCAGCCACCCTCTTAAAAATGTCAGCATAACAATATTTGAACAAATCCAAAAACCTGCTGATATCGGAGTCTATTACAATCTTTAAAAGTAGGTGCATTTCTCCTTGTGACAAGAAATGTTTTCTTTTGGGCATGCATCTACAGCCTTACCAAGTATTGGTGAGTTGGTTTGTGTACAACCCCCAGAGCTGACTGTAAACAGACAAGATGCGGTGTGTCCCAAACTGCGATAAAAACCCCAGTTGAGACTCATATATTCCGACTGTGCTACCAACAAATCCCAGGTCTCAATTGGAAAATGCTTCGCTCAGAATAAAGCCTATTTCGTAATATCAAAACAGAATATGCTGCATCAAATTCTGAATATTGTCATATTGGGAATAATAGTGGAATATTAGTGTGCATGTGAACGTACCCTGTGTGGTCCACAGGTTTTATGCAGGAATATGGTTATTAGGGTGAGTTAGGTTAATATACATTTTGCTAACAGGTAAGTGCAAGTATAAAGTAAAAGGACAGTATTCAGTTCAGTGGTGAGTTTAAAGATTCGTAACGTCAGAAATGTGGACTTTGATGCAGAAGAGCCTGACTCATTTTTACAAAAAGGAATTAAAAGATGAATAAATAAAATTAGATGTTTGTGGCAGTAAAAACCTCAAAACAAATTCAAAGATTAACGATTTTACAGACTGATATTTATAAACATGAATTTAACACATTTAAAGGACCTGCAGAAACTCTGAGAATTATTATAACTATATGAAGTTATTAAGGACTTTGTATGTTTCTGACTAAGCGTCCTTTGGGCTGGCCTACCTCTTCAATAAGTTGATCATCTGGATCGTAGTCTTTGATGTCAATCACCTCCGCTGGTATACCCAAAGCCTTCACCTCCTCTGACAGCTCGTTTGCAAAGCCCTGAACGAAACCAAAAAACATAGAGACATCTCAGAATGGTACAATTATCATGTGAGCTCCCAGTCTGTCTCGAACTGATCAATGACTGGAATCTCACTTTAGATTATGAGTGAATTATTGGTTTGCACAGGTTTGCACTCAAGGCCCACCTGTGAAATAACTTAGAATTAATACAGTGGGGTTGATAATACATTTTCAAGGGTTCAAGGGTGTAAAGTTATCATGTTTATATTTTGTTGGGACTGTATCAGAGATTGATTAAACTCTGCGGTTATACTGTAGACCACATTTTGGGGCATAGTTGCACTTGACTGTGTTACAAAATGTATGTACTCCTGTTTACAGAAAGCAGTGAGGTAGAATATCATCAACACTGTAGGTCTGTATCATCGTATTATAGCTTCAACTTGTCTATACGTTAACGTATTGAGCCAGTGAGGATGTTCACCTTTGCTGTTCCAGTTTGAGAGCCAAAGAAGATTTTAACCCCTGACACGTGAACCACAGCATCTCTGTGGCTGTCATTGTTCTTCACAGCTTTGTAGACCCACGGCCTTACATCTTTGGAAAAGCTTTTCTGAAAAGTATACAGAGGAAGACGAGATGTAAATATCCTTTATTCAAAAATCCCTTTTTTTTACGAGCGACCTGGACAGGAGGACAGCACAAACATCGTTACAACAATTAACACAAGCAGACAAGTAAAACTGCCACAAATGAGCAAGCACAACATCCAGTTCAAATACAGTACAAAAAATAAACTGTTTTAAACCTTGGGGACCAACATCTGTAGAATATTGGGAGAATGCAGGCCATATTTATTTTGGTAATTACAGATTAATGTACACAGATAAGAATGAACCAGCCCAAGCAGAGATTTACATTGATTTGCAAAAACATTAAAACCAGTGACAGGTGAAGTGAGTAACAAGGGTCATTTTGTTACAATGCAAAGTTCTGCTGGACACCTTGGGTCCTGACATTTATGTGGATGCCACCTGACATGCTCCACCCACCAAAACAATGTTACAGACACTGGTAAGTGCACCACTCATGACAACGGCAGGACAATGCACATGCTAACCTGTAAAAACTGTTCAAAAATGGCCTGCACAACAAAGAGCTCGAGGCATCGCCCTGGACGTCATATTCAACAACTCAAAATCTGGTTGGGCAGGTCGGGCCACTAACACCCTGGTGCCAGACACCCCCAGAGGTCTTATGTCCATGCCTTCGAAAGGTCAGAGCCAAGTCTGATCCAAGGAGGCCCCAATACAAATCAGGGTACCAACACATCCCACAGATGCTCAATCAGATTGTGATCTGGAGTATTTTGAGGCCAGGTCGATGCCTTGAACTCTTCGTCACGTTCCTTGGGCCATTCCTGAACATTTTTTGTCGTGTGACATTATGCATCGTCCAGCTGGGGAGGCCACTGCTATTGAGGAGTGCCACTGCCATGAGGGGGGTACTTGGGCTGCAGCAGTGTTTTGGTGGGTGGTGCATGTCAAGTGGCATCCACATGAATGTCAGGACCCAGCAGGACATTGTACTGCAGCAAGATGATCAATGTTATTCACTTCATCCGCCAGTGGTTTAATTTTGAGACTGATCGTGTACACAAAAACCAAACAATGGCAGGTGATCTTTGCATGTAGAGCTTCATGCAAGGAGAAAGACCTCTAATGTTTGAAAACATGAACAGTGAACAGCTTTACACAGATCAGTACACAAATCAGCACATTTAGAAATACAAACGTGGCAGCATGTGTACGACCACACACAACAACTCACCCTCTTCAGTGCCACCTTCAGGGAGAACCAGACTCCAAAGACGAGAGCAGCAGCTGAATATAAGTACAGCCTGTTGTGCCATATCGACATGAGATAGCTCTCACTGGGACTGTATGCATTTTTAGAGACTGGGGGGAGAAAACACATCCAGTGTCACTCAAGTGAAACGAAGAAGAAAACTTGTCTAACATCACTACGTGCACAACTGCAGCGCAACCCTCCTAATCCTAACGCAGCAACAGGCAAGAGGCAGCCGGAACCTAACTTCAGGTCACCTGCAGCAAATCAACAGCGGTTTGCTAGCATACTAGCTAGCAATGTTACGCACATGATAAAAGTGAGTTTCCTGTGCCGTTACATTTTAAAAAAGCTCACCTTTAGTATCCGTGGTAGACACACGAGTAATGCAAAGCAAAACTATCACGCAGAAACTCAGCATTGCTATAAATGGTGAGTTATAAGACACAGTCCTCAGAGCCTAAAGCTGTGTGCAACCATATTGTTTGGCCGATAAGCATGCTGGGAAGTGTAGTTCTTTCTCTTCTTTCGGCAGACTACACGCTACAATGGCGTATTGCTGCCCTCCAGTGTTCATTTCTAATAGTCCTTTCAGCTACCGTGAGCGTTATGTCCCTTTCTGCTTCAAAAATAAAAACAAAACGTTTATGTTTTTTTTTATTTATCACAAACAAAAGAAAATCAAATGATATGTACATATATATATATAAAGAACACCTGTCCCTTGGGGCTGTCATTTCAAGGTCTGTACACTGTACAAAATGTTAAGTCAGGGATTTATTTATTTATTTATTAAGAGTTTGTATACTATGTGGCCACAGCAATAGTATTGTGACAGGAGAGCATATGGCTGGGGGTCATTTCTGGGGAGCTCATATTTCCTTTGAATCTAAAAATGATAAGAAAAACATTTTATATTGTGTATTTGTGTATATTTATTTCTAACCTTAAAACTTTATTGAAGATCTTGTGCAGCCAGTCTTTTGTTGAATTGACTGACCCTGACACTTCACGAGAAGTAAAACTAAAAGAACTAAAAGGAATTAAGAAATTGTGATACTACTACTACTACTACTACTACTATTAATAATAATAATAATAATAATAATATCATCACGACAATGTGATAAAAGAAAATAGACAAAACTTTGTGCAAAAAAAGAGAGAAAAAAAAATCTCCACAATGATTATGATTACAATAAAAATACAAATATTCAGTACAAATATAATGTGACCTAGGCTCAAATAATCTTGGTGCATTTCAGCTTGCCAAAGAAATGGATGGAAATGAAATAAATAATATTTCCAAACTGTAGTCTCTGGAATGTCTACGGAAAGAGATGAAGATAACAATATATCATCCACAGATCAGGTCCTGAGTGGTGCCTTTTGGACTGGGTTTTACATCTATATCTTTTAAGAAGAAGAAGAAGAAACAGCAAACTGTAGTTATAATAAGGCTGCATTATAAAACACCATATGATAAAGCAAAGCACACTGCCTGTTACTGTTACACTACAAATGACTTCCTGCAAAACAAAGACAAACCAAATGAATGTTTATGAAATGAGCTCTAATAGCACTCATTCTTCTAATAGGGCTTTCACATCAGGGACCTGGAGGCGTCGAAACTCCTTTACAACTTTACTGCAAGACCAACGTGGTCTGACTTGTGGCCTTCATCAGGGTCAGGGTCACTCAGGCTCGAATGCACTTAGTACGAACACTGTGTACCAGACCTGGCCTGATCAGTACTCAAATTGAAAAGGAGGTCTTGAGTGAAAGCTTTGGAAGCTGAGTGCTGGGGCAGTGGAGATGTTGGGGCAATTGTACTTCACAGTATGAGCCAATCCTAATATGAAAACACCCTCATTCTAAGCAGTAGATATACTGTTTACAAGTATTGTATGGGACGGGTTCTGGTTTTTGTTTACTTTGTTGTGCATATCACAATATGGAAAGAGTTGTTACAAGTTTCCTGTTTTGTTGTGTGGTCACAGTAAAGGAGAACACATGCTATACACAGAGAAAAACTAAAGGAAAGTAGGACTGTTGATTCTATCTATATCTATATCTATCAATCTAGATAGATAGATAGATAGATAGATAGATAGATTGATTGATTGATCAGTCCCGTTCCCATGGCAAAGTTGAGGTAGTTAACCGTCCTGTGTTATGTGTCTGTCACATGTGGGCGTTTGTGAGCCATGTGACGGAAAAATGAGACTGTAGGCAGGCAGCCTTTAGACAGAGATGTGGGAAGATAAATGACAAGTGATGAAGACGGCATTACTATATGATGTTGCCTTTCTTTCAGTGTGTTGTCTTACTTAATGAGTAACACACATTTGGCTGCTTTACTGTCTTTGTAATTCTCGTTATGACAGAGGCTCTTTTAAGACCAGTGGGTTCATTACACAATGCGTACAGTGCTATACAAGGGTGTCTTCCCATAATCGAAAAAAGGAATTCAGGAAGCCATTGAGAAAATGATCAGGATTGTCCTCTCTTTCTTCTCCTTTTTTCCCTTTATATTATTTTAGCCATGCTAGCATCATGGCCATTTGGAGGTCAGTGTTGGTCTGTCCATCAGACAGTCCACCGTTTTGCTCCATAATATCTCAACAACTATTTGACTTTTTTTTTTTGTTAAAAAGTGACTGTTCAACATTTTAGTTTGTCCAGTACTCTGGTCAACAGTAACAACATTCCCATCTTCCTCAGCTGTACTTTTTGTGTGGTGCATTTTTGAATGCGAAGGGTTGTGCCACTTTCCAGCATTGGACACTTGATGGGCATAACACTAGGCAGTGTCACTATAGGTGTTTGACAGGTGCTCTGCAACTAAACTAGGAAATCAATACACTGTGGAATGTTGACCCGGCTTTATTTCAAGCATTGGAGGGATAGCAGCGTTGTAGCGATATCAATTTCTCTTCCATGACCACTGACCAACAAAGAAAACATACAGGCTACAGCAGACCCCCAGGAACACAGCTCAGTATTGCTTCCAGTTCTTCCAGTGATCACTCACCGTCTCTGTGGCCATTTTGTGTCTCTTTGAGGTCATTTCTTTCTTTGTAGTCACTTTGTGTCTCTTGTTGTCATTTTTGTCTCTTTGTGGTTGTTCTAGTCTCTTTGAGGTCATTGTTTTGTCTTTTTGAGGTCACTTTGTGTCTCTTGTTGTCATTTTTGTCTCTTTGTGGTTGTTCTAGTCTCTTTGAGGTCATTGTTTTGTCTTTTTGAGGTCACTTTGTGTATCTTGTTGTCATTTGTATCTTTTGTGGTCATTCTATTCTCTTTGGGGCATCCTCTTTTTGTCTTTTTGAGGTAATTTTGCATCTTTTTGCAGTCATATTGTCTCTTTGTCGTTATTTGATGCCTCTTTGTAGTTATTTTGTGTTTCTTTGTAGTCATTTTATGTCTCTTAATAGTTATTTTGTGTCTCTGTCGTCATTTTATGTCTCTTAATAGTTATTTTGTGTCTCTGTCGTCATTTTATGCCTCGTTGTAGTTATTTTGTGTCTCTGTCGTCATTTTATGTTTCTTTGTAGTTATTTTGTGTCTCTGCCGTCATTTTATGTCTCTTTGTAGTTATTTTGTGTCTCTGCCGTCATTTTATGTCTCTTTGTAGTTATTTTATGTCTCTTAATAGTTATTTTGTGTCTCTGTCATCATTTTATGTCTCTTTGTAGTTATTTTGTGTCTCTGTCGTCATTTTATGTCTCTTTGTAGTTATTTTGTGTCTCTTAATAGTTATTTTGTGTCTCTGTCATCATTTTATGTCTCTTTGTAGTTATTTTGTGTCTCTGTCGTCATTTTATGTCTCTTTGTAGTTATTTTATGTCTCTTAATAGTTATTTTGTGTCTCTGTCATCATTTTATGTCTCTTTGTAGTTATTTTGTGTCTCTGTCGTCATTTTATGTCTCTTTGTAGTTATTTTATGTCTCTTAATAGTTATTTTGTGTCTCTGTCATCATTTTATGTCTCTTTGTAGTTATTTTGTGTCTCTGTCGTCATTTTATGTCTCTTTGTAGTTATTTTATGTCTCTTAATAGTTATTTTGTGTCTCTGTCATCATTTTATGTCTCTTTGTAGTTATTTTGTGTCTCTGTCGTCATTTTATGTCTCTTTGTAGTTATTTTATGTCTCTTAATAGTTATTTTGTGTCTCTGTCATCATTTTATGTCTCTTTGTAGTTATTTTGTGTCTCTGTCGTCATTTTATGTCTCTTTGTAGTTATTTTATGTCTCTTAATAGTTATTTTGTGTCTCTGTCATCATTTTATGTCTCTTTGTAGTTATTTTGTGTCTCTGTCGTCATTTTATGTCTCTTTGTAGTTATTTTATGTCTCTTAATAGTTATTTTGTGTCTCTGTCATCATTTTATGTCTCTTTGTAGTTATTTTGTGTCTCTGTCGTCATTTTATGTCTCTTTGTAGTTATTTTATGTCTCTTAATAGTTATTTTGTGTCTCTGTCATCATTTTATGTCTCTTTGTAGTTATTTTGTGTCTCTGTCGTCATTTTATGTCTCTTTGTAGTTATTTTATGTCTCTTAATAGTTATTTTGTGTCTCTGTCATCATTTTAAGTGTCTTTGTAGTTATTTTGTGTCTCTGTCGTCATTTTATGTCTCTTTGTAGTTATTTTATGTCTCTTAATAGTTATTTTGTGTTTCTGTCGTCATTTTAAGTGTCTTTGTAGTAATTTCGTGTCTCTTTGTACTGTAGTTGTTTTATGTTTCTTTGTTGCCATTTTGATAATAACAATAATAATAATAATAATACATTGGATTTATATAGTGCTTTTCAGGATACTCAAAGACACTTATTTTGAGTCTCTCCCTGGTCAGTAAGTGTCTCATCTAATAACATTTATCAGGTGGAGGCCAGGTGGGCACCTGACACTTAGCGCCCCTGAACATGTGCCTGGTTGTCCTACTCAGTAATCCATCCATGACAACAAATAACAATGAATTATTTTTTAGGATGTCTCTTAACAGCGACAGCAGACTAAGGACAATCAGATGAAATGAACATGCTGCAGTGCTGAAAGATGCACATAACTATAAATGCCGGCATGTAACCTTGCCACTGAGGCCATCTACATGTGTTACACCTGTAAGTAAAAAATGATTTAAACACAACAATTATTGAAGAATATTCTGAGTAGGCACACAGCTGATAAAGTGATTTTAACTTGTTAAGAGGATGTAACGGGTGCCCCTTATTTATCTGTGGGGAAATGCTTCTGAACAGGAAACTGACAGGGAGCTCCAAGCACGAGTGACTCTACTTGCAGGGCTGCAACGCACACACACACACACACACACACACACACACACACACACACACAAACACACACACTTAAGTAGGCGTGAAGCTGAGACTGAAACTTACACTGAAAACCCCAAACAGCACAACTGCAATTAATCAGCTACAAGTCTCTCTCTCACATACACACACACACACACGCACACACACACACACACACACACACACACACACACACGCACACAGATCTTAGTACATTAACTACCACATTAACTATTTGAAGAGTCATCATTTCTTTATCTTTTAAGATCTTAAATTATTTTAAAAAAATTTTCTTATGAGCACAGAAACACAAGAATGCATGCAGTATCAAAAAACACACTGACAGAAAAGTCTCTGTCACATGCATACACACACACACACACACACACACACACACACACCCAACAGGAAACAAAATTGGATTATGCAAATCAGCTAAGAAAAAATGTTTGAGAGAGAGGAGAGGAAGGTGTGAGGGAGGGAGTGACAGAGGTAGGGAGGATTGATAGCAGGCCGAGAAACAGAAACAGGAAGGTGTCAATGTGTGTGTGAGTGTGTATGTGTGAGTGACGGCAGCCAAGAGAGAGAGACGCAGAGACTTTTCTCAGCAGCTCACGTCCTCTGAAAGTGTATCAATTTTGTTGCCTGTAGATGTAGATGCCACAGAGTCTGTGTGAGAGTATGTTTGAGAGAGAGAGAGGGTGTGTGTGTGTGTGTGACATGCCTGAAGAGGATTATTAGCGACATAAATATCGACATGGATTTCCAACATCGTGCAGCTCTGGATATCTCCACCAGGAACCCTCAGGATGACTTCGAGATCCTGCTGAGAGTTGGAGGAGGAACATACGGAGAAGTTTATAAGGTCAGAGCCTCCAGCTGCTGCTGTTTAACTCTTGTACTGCTGCTGAGAGTTTCAGTCAATACCATAATGTGACCAGCTTGTAACTAATATAAAGCATTTAAAGAATCTTTGAAGAGAAGAGCTTCTTAGAACAGTTTTAGAGAAGAGACTGTGTTTTATTTTACCATCAAGCAGAATTTTAAGGCTGACTAACTTCATTAGTGTGAGGGGGATGTTTGCCGCGCTGACTGCTGCTATCTCAAGTCAAGCATGTCTTACTTCTGCCTTCTCTACAAGTTGCTCCTTAACAGTGTAACCTACAATACATTCTGTACCAGTGATGGAAGAAGTATTCAGGTCTTTTACTGATCTGTAAAAGTAGCTATACTGCAGTGAAGTAATACTCAATTACAAGAAAACTTAACCTCATGTAAGTAAAAGTACAAAATGTAAAAGTGCTCAGCATGCAGAATTGCCCATTTTATAATTATGCATATTATACTGTTGGATATAATGATTCATGCATTATATCCAACAGTATGATATAATGATTCATGCATTTAAATGTTCATTACTTTAATGTTGCAACTACTACAATCTGGAAAGTAACTAAGGTTAGCGAATAAAAGTAATCCATTAAGAAGTACAATATCTAGTACAATGTAGTGGAGCAGAAGTGCAAAGTTGCAAAGTACAGGTACTTCAAAAGTGTACTCAAAGGAACAATGTGTAAGATTTAGGAGGATTTAGTGACATCTAGCGGTGAAGACTACAGATTGCAACCAGCTGAAACTTGTTTTTTTACCCGGAGCCAAATTATTTATAGAGGTCTCTTTCTCTACAAACAAACTCAACAGGTGATTAAAACCAGTAGCATGTCAGAGACAGGCCTCAGCACCTGTTTATCTGTGCTCACCTTTTTATATCCACAGAGGTCTCTTATTCTTCAGAGCAAATGGACCTGGGGATTTGAACTGGCAAAAACACTAAATTAAGCATTTTCATGTTAAAAATTTGTGGTGTTTTTTTGTTTGTTTGTTTGTTTGTTTGTTTCAATGCAGAGGGGCTGCTAAATAAAACATAAAAATGCAAATGTCCCTATCTAGAGCCAGTGTTTGGTTTGTCCATTCTGGGACAGGTTGCAGATTGTGACAAGCTAAAACACCTCCCATGTGTCAAGCGTGTAGGAGAACTGTGGTGGTCGACTTGAAAACACGAAAACTCAAATGGCCCTATTTCCAGCCAGTGTTTGATTTGGCCATTCTGAGCTACTGTAGGAACATGGTGTTCCAACATGGTGACCTTCATTGATGAGGACCTGCTCCCTATGTGGACATAAATGGATCATTCTAAGATGACAAAACCATAACGATTCCCATTTTCAGATGATTACACACTAAAGAAAACATACTTATTATATCATGCTCTGTTTCTGCCGATACCCCCTAAGTCCTACACGCTGGACTTCCCTGTATGATGACATGTTTAATTCCTCAGGGCTGAATATATTGTGCTGTGCTCACTGGGGATTTCTTGATGAATGTTGAAGGAAATACAGGTGTGATTGATTTTAGTTTCCCCGGCTGATTGCGATCACAACTTGAGTGCAGGCTCCAGCTCTGCAGGAGGAAGTGGTTTTACAAGAAGTGAAAGTATTCTTGTAAATAGCTGATGGCTTTTTTTGATTTTACTCCAACTAAAACAGAAGTCAGCCTGAACTCTGGATTGTTAGTGTCTTGTTGATTTTCTCTTCAGGTGCTGATTTCATATTTTCACTTGTTTAAAAACTTTTTTAGGACCTGGCGTTCTTAGCAAAAGGAGACTTTCTGTGAGATGACTCAGTTTCACTAAGGAGTCAGATACAGTCAGCTTTTGTTCATGTGAAATCTAACTTGACCCCTGACCCTGATTGGGTAACTATATCCTCACACCTTTCCCCTGTCCTTCTATGTATTTGTACTTAATGTTTCCTCTTTCATGTTTAATGATCACAGCTGGGGTTTCTGTTTGTAAAGGCCTCTTGAAAAAATAGACCTTTAATTGTAACACACAAAATATCATGTAAATGATTTTAAGGAGCAGTGTGTAGGATTTGGTTTATTAAACATTAAGATAAAATGAGATCCCTGGGGATAAATCTACAAACTACCCAGCAGATAAAGTATTTGTACTTTTACTTGAGTAAAAATTTACATAGTATTTCTACACTGCAGTATTGTTACTTTACCCACAAAATGACCATTTGTAAATCAATTAGTTATGCTGTTTTACCTTCAGTCAATGAAGAAAACATTTTTTTCACATGTCCTAAAAATGACATAGGAGTGATTTATTGATTGACTCAGGTCCAACTTAAACAACTCTAACAAAACACCCATTTAAGAACTCTCACACAATGTACTAGTATTAATATTTTCATTATAATTGTTATTATCATCTTTGTTTAAAGAAAAAAAAAACACTAAATAATGTCTGATGGATCTGTGGTCCATGAAGCTAAATAGAACATGTTTTTCTTTTCTTTTTAGTTTTTAACTTCAAACTTCAGATTTGATTCAGATTTGGAAGAGGTCTAAGTTTTGTTTTATAAAATCCCACAAATTCAGTTTAATTGAGTGGCCCATGATGGTGCTGGTGAAAGCTCATTTTGTGCTATCCTCATACTTACATTTAATGTCCTGTTAAAAAAACTTAGCTACTACAACTCTTCAGTTTATGACAGAATACCCAAAGAATAGAATGTTTGAATTCCCTCCAGTCTACTGAATGTAATGCTGATAGTATGCTAACATACTGTTGATACTAATGTGAACATGCTAACATGCCTCTCAGGTCTGCTGACATTTCAAAAGCCTTTTAATCTTGTTCTTTGGACAGTTCTCTTGTTGAGGTGTTGTCCTCCAAAGGCCTTGACACACCAAGCTGACAGATGGCTGTCAGTCAGTGTTGGGCCTTTGGTGAGCCTCTGTCGTCCTTGTCGATGCAGTGCTGTACTATTGCTCCTAGTCGGCCCCTGCTGGCTTTATTTTTTGCAAATGGGGGCAAAAAAAAGACCCTGCTGGCACCTATTTATTTCTTTGAAGGGCTGAACTTCACATAAAAAAGAATAGAATCAAGACCAAGGGAGACGGGGGCCCACAGGGAGTGATGTATGGGGCCTAGAATTTTAATCTCTCCTGTGCTCAATCTGTTCGACAGTGAAATACAGTAACTGTTATGCAAAGCAGGGGAGCTGTAAAGTGAGCACACTTCCTCTAAAGAGGTCAGTCGACCCCGCTGTTCTGTTTTACAGACAGAGAGAGAGAGAGAGAGAGGGGGAGATTTGCATAGCTGCTCTTCCTCAACGTACTATGGACACACACACAGACAGACACACACACACACACACACACACACGTGCGCTCATGTACATGTTTTCGGCTGCATGTTGCTACACTCATAGTGTTACAGAGGTCAGTCTGCAGACGCAGCACTTTTGCACCATCAGCAGTAAGAATGTAAAGAAAGTAGGCCTTTTACATGTGTCCAGTGAAAACCACATATCTCCAGATGTGATGATGTTGTTTTTGATTAACTGAAGGATGAAGTGTTCCTTTATGTGTTGTACCTCTCAAGCTAAATAAACTCTTTGAAAATCCTCTCGGATCAGCTGGAAAATGCATCATCACAAAGCTGACAACGGGACTGTTTTTCTGATACATGGTTCCATCCATGCTACAAACACAAAATGATTTTATAGAATACGATGCATTGCCGTAGAATAAACTGCCCAACAGTATATAAAGGGGTTCAAATGAGCACAACCGTAAACATCTTCAGCAGTAAAATGCAGCATACAAATCAATGCAGAAGTAATATTAATTCAAAAACATCAGAATAGGAAAACACTGAGAGGGAACATTTTACTCCCCAGTGAGTACTTTTACTTAATAATACTTTTGCTTAAGGTAGGCTTTAAATTCAAGGCTCTTACTTGTAGTGGAGTTTTTTCACAGCGTGGTATCAGTACTTTTACTTAAGTAAGGGATTTGAATATGTCTTTGACTGAGAATTGTCAGTTTATAATGGTGCAGCAGTAGCAGACAGATTTTAGCCTTTAATTGTTGCAACACCTTTAGCAGGATCAGTCAGAGGAGTAAGACGGATGTGGTGACTGCACTGGATGAGTCAGATAAGTGTAGTACAACTGGCTGCATTTTCCTTGTCTTCAATGGCATTTTTGCTCATGTGTTTTGTTTATCTCACAGCACACGGTAGCTTTCTCTGCTTATGTCAACTGCTCAGGTTTGTTTGCGAGAAAAGTGCTGTAAACTGATTCCTGTTCTGTGTGCAAGAGGCGTCGAGATCAACAGATGCAGAAACACTTGTAAATGAAATATTGATGAATCTCTAATGTGCCATCAGCACAGAGTTGTGTCTAAGTAACACGCTGTTTAGACAGCCTCAGCCATCTCTTACATAAGTTTCAAACACCACATGATTCAAGAAGTTATGTTACAGGTCCAGTATGTAGGATTTAGTGGCATCTACTAGTGAGGTTGCAGATTGTAACAAGTTAAAACACCTCCCATGTGTCAAGTGTATAGGAGAACTGCGGTGGTCGACTTGAAAACACGAAAACTCAAATGGCCCTATTTCGAGCCAGTGTTTGATTTGGCTGCTCTGGGCTACTGTAGAAACATGGCAGTGCAACATGGTGATCTCTGTGGATGAGGACCCACTACCTATGTTGATATAAATGGCTCATTCTAAGGTAATGAAAGCACAAAGATTTTTATTTTCAGGTGATTATACGTTACGGACAACAGAGTCGTGAATTTTATATCCCATTTCTGCCAGTAGATGCCCATAAATCCTACACACTGGGCCTTTAAAAAAGGTCATTTGACAGTGTGGAGCAATTATCATAGCAGACATTGTGGCATGCACCCAAACGACATTGCTGCCTGCTGAGGCATTACACCTACCTTTCTGTAACTGTCACCACTGCGCTGGAAATAGTAGCTGGTTTTACCTGCTGG